ATAACTGCTTTGGGTTCTGGAAAAGAAAAAGGATACATAGTACCCAAAGTACATCTCCCTGACAGAAGCCAAAGCAGCAACAGCTACAGGAGCAAAGCAGCTCTGTGGGCCTCAGGAACAGCGGTCGGAATCCGATGCCAGTGACCCGAGTGCCCGCCGCAGAAGCCTCACCATGGCTTTGTTCTCCTTGATGTTCATGGTCCTTTTCAGCAGAGCATCCGAACCCTCCGGGCTCTCATCCCTGGGGTCATCCTCAGACTCGGAGGCAGAGTCTTCCCTTTGCTTCCCCTGCCTGCGGCTTTTCTTGCTTCCACGCACTGTTTTTTTATTGTCCTGTAAGCGTGAGCTAGAAAACAATGACTCAGAAGAACTGTTTTTATCTGATTTTTTGGCCAATTTCTTGGAGGGGAATTGAAAGGCTACTCGAAGACCAATGCTGCTTCCTCGAGGCCTGCTTCTCTTCTGTGTAGCCTTTTCTTCCTCCTCCTCCTCCTCTTCCTCGCTCACCAGCGACACTTTGCCATCATCACTCAAATCTGACTCCACGAGCTAACAAAATAAAACAAACAAGACATCTGTCTACCACAGACCTACAAAAAAGACACTCATTTAAAACTACTCTGACATTATTTCAGGAAAAACACAAAGAGTGTTTTCCCATTATTAGTTTCCTCTGAACTCCTCAGTTAAAATGTGGAAAAAGGTTGTTGGTGAATAAAATCCAAGAGTAGGCAATCTACTACTGAACCGTGCACCAGTCATACCCGCTAGAACTGGGTTCCACCCGGAGTGAAGGCTAGAAGCAAACAATGGCCAGAGCGGGTCCCTCCTGAGCAGAACCAGCAGGCCGGCATGGCATGAGGCTGCATGGCCTGAGGAACAGCCGAAGAAGAGGGTGTGCATGACAGAAGAGTATCTTTGGATAAAAATGGAGTGCTAAGGGAAAAAAAATATTGACTAGTCTGCTCTAAATAGTAGAAATAGGACTTATAAGTAAAAGTGGCAGGAGAACTGACTTCACCTCAGTGAAGTGACCAAGGAGCAGGCAGATGACCCATCACCAGGGTCAGCAGGGGAACATCATCCCCACGGCATGACAGTCCCCTCCCTTTTCTGTAAGCTTCAGAGCCATGGGGTACAATCAAGTCATACAGCCCTGTAGGGTGTTGCAGAGCATCTGCTCATGAATGTCAGCTCAAGAAACTCTCACCCCCCGATTTTCAAAGTCTCCATGGCATAGGTCTCCAGCATCAAAACATCTCTTGATTTTACAGGTGAAAACATAGTAAAAAATGGAAGGCAATAACACAGTGACATCACCCAGCTGCGATGGGACTTAGTAATGATAAAAAAGATAGGTTAAATAAATACTCAAGATCAAGGACATCTTCTAGGCATACTTCCTCGACCCCCAGCTAGAAAACAATCTGGGAACCACTGCCAGGGAATCCTGAAAATGGGGCTCCCATGAGGAGAGCAAGCCACAGAAGGATGCATGCAGGACTCAGTCCAATGACTCTGCTTCCTCCTGTGACTCTCCAGAAGTCTAGCTGGTCTCAAGTCAGAAATAAGACAGAGGGAGGAAAAAAATGCAGATAACTGCCACACTCTGGTGTATCAATCCATGCCAACCCAAGTAGAGAAACCAGACTATACTGTACTGATTTATCTATTTTTTAATATCCTGAACTTTGCACATGAGTAGCTTCAGAATTCAGAATGGTGAGCTGCAAAGGAATCCAATTTTAGAGGACACTGTCAGGCAAGAACTTCAGATCTATTTATTTATCATACTCATCATCTATCCCACTTTTCTTTACCAAAGATGTGGAGCAGCTCACCACAAAGGACAGAAGTAAGGACAGAGCAAATTGTACATGCCAGTCCAGAAGCAGACCTGAGGAAAAGCGTACAAGGTCAGCCCCTGACTGTGGCTGTCCTCCATCTGGCCAACAGACCACTAGATACCAAGGTTATGGCGACATTCCAGTATCAGAGAAGACGGTCTCACCAGTTCTCATAAGGGTGGGTTGGGAAGCAACAGTGCTTGTTTCCTCACTGAATTCTAAAGTAAAATTTGCAGATGGACCTGCACCAAGCTATATGTTATATATCACAGTCTATATTACACATCACAATCCATACCCTAAATTTATAGACTCTAAGGGGGAAGAAAAGACTTTTGGGGTAATTCACTTTCTCTCACTGGAAACAAATTCTTTGAATAACTAGATATAACTTAGCTAAAGCACAGAAGATAAGTAAGCGGGGGGAAGAAAAGACTTTTGGGGTAATTCACTTTCTCTCACTGGAAACAAATTCTTTGAATAATTAGATATAACTTAGCTAAAGCACAGAAGATAAGTAAGCGGCTAAGAGATTATACTCATTAGGGTTTGGAAGGACCTTAGTGTCCTACTGGCAAGAAACTGGGGACTTGCTAGCCAGAACCCACAAACTGCCACACGAACAGCTTCAGCAAAGAAAGCCAGAGGAGAGCAGGGCCTACAGGATGGCACGGCTCTGTGTTACTATTCATGGAAGAAAATCACCATCAAACAAGGCAGCCTACTATTAGGGCTTTTACAGCCTAAGTTCTCCCCCAAGAAAGGTGAGGGACAAGCCAGCCTAGTAGTCACAGCTTATTTATACTTCTACACAGGTTCTGTGCCAAAAGTTGTTCCTTAGGAGCTTCTGACTGTGAAGAGGCTTAAACGCTATCTTTCAACTCGATACTAAAAAAGAAAGTGGTATTTTTTTTAATTTTTTGGATTAGTGTATACTAATTTTCAGTTAGTAGAAAACATTTTTGCACTTAAAAATATCCAAAGGCTGTGCTTTAAAATTACCTTAAGATTCAAATGTGAGTTGGCAGTAAACTAGTCTGAACACATGGAGTAAAAGGACGAGATCAACCATCTAGTCTCTTAATGGTAAAGTGCTGAGAGCAGATTTCCCTTAGGAATTCAGGCAGGCCTGGGTCAGCATCCAAATCAAGAATGCACAGGAAAAACTCCAAGTTTTTACTACAGCTAAATTTTTGCCAAGTTAACTTCAAGCGTAGAAATATTATTTCACACACAAGAAAGACCTTTAAGAAAATTATTACTCCAAGACAGACTGAAAAGATAAAAGAGGTTCAAGAAAGTCTGAAATAAATTCTTCGATAAGGACATAAAGGATGCCTGGGACACATCCCAAAACACCCCAAAGGCATGAGGGGGAAACAACTGGATTTTCTCTAAGAGAATAATGGACAGGCAGACCAGGAATTAGCCTTAGAGTAGCAATTTTCATATTACATTAATTGGCCTATAAGAAAAAGTAAAATCTCACTTGTGAAGTGACTTCTTATAAGTAAGACAGTTTGCAGAAGCAGGACTAAAAATGTTACAACCCCCATCCCTTCCTGTTGATAATTATTACCATTACTTCTGGGTTACTATTAATGTTCAGATCACTCTGCGTAAATCCTTCAAAATCTTCAGTCTCTGAGTCAGTGTCCTCTATAAAAATTCTTCTTAGCTCTTCCGTGAAGTATTTGGAATGGAAACGCACATCCTGCTAAATTAAAAACATACATATATCATAGAGACAGACATAGAACAGAGGTTACCAAGAGGAGGAAGGAATAGGGAGTTACTGTTTAATAGGTATAGGGTTTCCATTGAGAAGAAAGCATTCTGGAGATGGATGCTGGTGACAGCTGCACAACATGAGGAAGAGACTTAATGCCACGAAGTGTGCACTTGAGATGGTTAAAAAGGTAAATGTGACATTATGTATATTTTGCCACAATAAAAGTGTACACACACACACTCTTTCTAAAGCTTTCAGTAATTTACTTCTATAATTGGACAATTTCAAAAAATCAGCATAGCTGTAGTCTCAATTTGCTTCAGGTGTGACTGGTAAGTGCTGACGGGAATTCAGCTTTTCCTGCCAAAGCTGGCAACCAGAAACGTCTGCTTTCACATAGAACCAAAAACACATGGAAAGAAAACAAGAGGGGAAAGCCTGGGGCCTCCCAAGTGCTGGCTCTCCTTCCCACTGGGCATGCAGAGCCCGAGTGCCGCCAAGCGGGTGAGAGTGTGCCTCTCACCAACAACACGTTTGCCCACAGGAAAGGGCTGGGGACCCACGCCCCTGCCCAGCCACTACTAGAGATAGCCTTGCTCCACTACCATGGGAAATGGACAAAAAACCTCCAGCGGAGGTTAAAGGGAGGAATCACAGGTAGGTAACAAGAGGGCAGAAGAAAAATGCCATGTAACTGACTCCTAAAAAACAAAGACATTTTCCAACAATGACTTTTTCTTTCTTCTAAAATACAACAAGGAAACCCAGCTCTCTTAACAGTATGCTTGAAAGAAAGGACAGGGAAAGAAAGAACCGCAGACCCAAAGGGAGACCCACAAGTGCAGCCTCCTGCAAGCCTGTGGCGTTTCATCAGGGATGGAGCCTGTGTGTCCCCAGCTTCCCTTGACGCTTCTTCCTCCCACCCCACCTAGAGCATTGACCCCTCATAACACCATATTCGGTTGAGAATCTTTATCTCCCCCCTGCCTTTCCCTGACTTTAATTATATGCTTCTTCAAGCTCAGATATCTCTTGAGAAAAATAGATATAATAGATGAGTGGAAAACTTAAAGAGGCAAAAAGAAATGCCTACCATCTAGCATTTTTAAGCTTAAGAATGTCTCTTATGAATTATTATGGGTAATTGGAGTGAGTTTTGCTCAGAGCTAAATTACTTTGTTCCTTTGTTGATAGCTGTGGTGCAGCTGCTTAAAAAAAAAACACACACACAAAAGGGAAATTTCTTTACGGTGAAATTCAAATTGTGTTTAAGGGAGACCAGAGCCAGCATACACATACTGTGTGCAAGTTCATGCAGCTTCTTTCAGCTGGTTAAAATGGATCATGAGTGTGTGGGCTCAAGGAGGGAAGGCAGCAGGCCAGGGCTTATTATTAAGGAAGAAAGGCTCATGCTGGCTGCGAAGGAACCCCACTATACACCTGGGGCCTCCAGTGCAGAAAACATCTGGCTCACATAGCCCTGAGCCAGCCCTGCAGGCTGTCTTAGGGCAGTGGGGTATGTGTGTCAATTTCCCTAAATATTCAAAGCCCCTGCCTAGGGCCAGAAGAGACCAAGACTTGAAGTGAGTTCCAACCTTCCAGTCCTTCTGGCTCTTTCTCTACTTTGTGCTGGCCTCACAGGTCAGTATGAGAGAAATCAATCTCTGGTGGCAGCTGTGATGGAGAAAAACAACTTAGCTGCAGTCCTAATCTGAGGCCCATGATTTTATTTTCCTTACTTCAAAGGCTACAGAAACTGTTCTCCATGGGGTTCTGTGTGAAGCAAACCTCCCCTCCTCACAGCCTCACTGCATGCTCAGTTACAACCCTGAACAGCTCTCTGCTCTCTAGAACCTGTTCATTATCCTTCAAAATCAATACAGGTCACTATGATGAGGGCCTCGGTGGCCTGCATCTGCTGTGATCAAGACCATAAGCAAGTAACAGATGTGACATAAAGACACAGTCTGGAGAGCAATGACCTGCTGAACCAGAGAATAAGACAAGCACCCCACTTCAATTGCACACAACAAACACCCACCAGTGCTCGCTCTGTACAGTCATGTGGGGTGCTAGAAACGAGAGGAAAGAGACAAACCCAAGGACAAAAAGTCAGGGCCAGGGATGCTAGAAAGTAGGTTTCCCTCCTTCAAGGAGCTTATCACCCAGTAGGGGGGCCAGCTAGGTCCACAAATAACCAGGCTGAGGGTCAGTATCATGAGGGTAACACAAGCAATATGGTGCACAAAGGGAAAGGAAATCCAGTAGGACTTCAGGGAAGAAGCAGCATTTGAAATGGACCTGAACCAGGGTAGAGTCGAGAAAAATGGCAGAATGGCACGTGAGGGAATCAACCTAGTTTCTGGTCTCCTGCAGCACGGCAGGAAAGACAGCCAGGGAAGAAGAGGCTGGGAAGTGGTAGCCCTGGAGTTGGAACAGCCCAGCTCAGTGCTTCCCAGATATGCGGCCTTGGGCAAGTCATTTCACCTTTCTGAGTGTCAGTTTTATCACCTGTCAAACAGGGATAATTACAGCACCTACACCTTCCCAAAGAGGTCTCTGGAGTAAAATGCAGAATATGTATGAAAAACACTTGGCACATTGTCACAGGCCATTGAAGGCATGCTGGAGTCAGACTGGGGGCTGGGAAGGACGCCTAAATAGCTGTCACAGCAGCAAAAGCAGCTGCTCTGTGTCAATGCCCATGCATGCCAGGCTCTGCACTCAGCACTGGACACATGTCCTGCACTACTCAGAATGCCCTTCAAGGGGGATCCAACACGCTTCCTCTGCCTCACTGCCTGGCTGTGCTCGGATGGAGAGCCTGGCAATTTCTGAATTAAGGGAGGAGGCATGTGCAGAGCTCAGTTGTACAATGGATCCTTAGCAGGAAGGGTTAAGCTACGAGGGCTACAGCAGCCGTAGCAGGAAGGGAAGAGAAAGGCAGATGGATGTGAGGAACATGGAGAAGTTTCATTAACTCCTGGGTGGGAGCCGGGGAGATGGGAGAGCAGGGGAGATGGGGGAGCAGGAGGAGGGGTCGAAAAAAACAAAAGATGGAGATAAAGATGGGGCAATGGGGAAGACAGAAAGACAACCCGGGGAGGGGAAATGGTGAGTTACAGATTTCCCTTGCTGGCAGTCAGAAATGCATCTGGAGCCGGAGAGAGAGGCCCAGCTCCACTTAAAGAACACAGCAACAGCTAAAAGCACAAACGACGAGACCAAAGAGTGAAAATGCTTAAAGAACATCCCACATGTAGGGACAGGAAACAGAGGAGACGACAACAAAGAGCAAAAGGTGTAATAGAGAGGAAGAGACCCAGGGGAGTGGAAGGAGGTGGCTGGTGGGATTACATACTGTGGGGACATCATATGGGATGAGACCTGGGAGGCCCCAGCACCCCTGGGAAGCACAGCTCCCACCAAGGCCAGGACATACACAGTCATACATCTGAGTAACCAACCAGGCACTTCACTTATGTGCAATGAACTGCCTCCCTTCCTGTACTTGCCCAGCGGAAGCAAGGTGAGTGTAATTTACAGCCTTTTAGGAGAGGCCATGGCCAGGGAGAACCAGGAGTTTGGAGCACCGCAATGAAGTCAGAAGAAAACGCCACTGAAGGCTGGGCATTCTGCCTGACCATCCTTCTGCTAAGGCACAAAATAAGCCTCCGTGAACATAACGCTCAGAGAACTGTAACTTGTGTTTGTGCAGATCAAAATACTTAAAGAAAGAATAATGCTGTCCCCAGCAATCGCAAGAGTGAGGTCCACCGGGTGTCACTGTCTCACAATAACCTCACATTCCACTGCACATGTGTCGCTGCCTTCCTCAGAGTGGGCTTCCATCAGGCCAGGCTCACCCTCCCCTGCCTCGATGTGGGAAGACTCTGAATACAACCTCACCACAGGTGACAGCCCCGAGGTAGCAACGAAAATGGATTTGATCATGGGAGGTCCCTTTACTTGAAAAAAAAAAAATCATTGTACATGAGAAGGATTAAAACAGCAAAAGTGAACTGGGTTTTGTGAAACGTGAGAGCATAATGCTTAAAACGCTTGACAATTAACCGTTATCACAAATCACAGACCATGTTAAAAGAAAAGAAGATCCAAACCAAGATTCAGGCTTCCAGGTGAACACACCTGCTTTGAAAGGAAGCATCGTACCTGTTTCCCTGGCTCCAGTGAGTCGAAACTATCGCAGCTCTCCTCTGATGAGAGGGTTTCCATGGGAACATCATCTCGGAAACCTATAAACTCTTCATCATCACTGGGGGCGTTGAAGATGTCAGCCACTTCTTTAGGGATCTGCTTTGGATTCAAGAGAGAAGAAGGATTCTTCAGGGGCTACTGTAATCTCCTCGGGGAATTTTCCAGAGGGAAACAGGAATTATTGTCTGGTAACTTTATCAACCTGCCATGGCTGCCCAGAAGTCCCAGTAACCTGGGCAGAATATGCTTCGGCTGAGACTTCCTGGCATTTAAAAAGGGGGGGGGGGGGGGGGGGGGGGGGGGGGGGAGGGTTTTTTTTTTTTTTTTTTTTTTTTTTTTTTTTTTT